AACAGCCACCTACATCCTCCGGCCTCTTCTGGGCTCCTCTCCCCTTTACTCTTGACTCTTCCTTCTGTTCTCGTGGTTCTTTCTTACTGATGTATTTCAGCCACACCCTTGATCTTAGGTTAGTGATATCTAACATCTAGCCTTGTTAGATGAGGGCGAAACAAATTTGGAGGTCCAGTGTGCAAGCTGCAAGTTGCGCACCTTAAAGATTCCTTGATGGTTCTGCAATCGATAAGAGTTGGCTTTGGACGCTCTCGAGCGAAATTCAAAATTCTTACCAAAACTGAAAATATTCTAGTCAGTATAAAAACGTTTTGAATGCCTTCGAAATCGGAATGTGGCTGCCTGCACGAAAAGGGCCCTTCGAAGTAGGTAAAAAGGTCACTTGCATAAAAATCAGTTGCCTTGCAAGTTGAAGGACCAGCAGTCGGCTACCCCTCCCTGAGATAAGCCAAGGAACGCAAAGAAGAAGAAGACAGTATCTCATACGATTGATTTTTTTTTTACAGTAAGAACTTAACGAACTTGCAACGCAAACAGGTCATATAAGTACCGAAGATTATAGGTGCTACGTGAGAGTAATATGCAAAGAACAGAATGTGAGATAATGACGATAGATGTTTGATAGGATAGAACGAGCAATTTACACCGGACCACCCACCAACCCGCCGCCCACTGACTTTGAACGAGGTTACAACCACTTTCTGATGAATACTGATACTAATAAACATGGCTTTGATTGTAAGGTACATACTATTGTTTCTCAAAAGTACACGAAACCGTGATATTTATTATTACTCTGCCCATTTGTTAGATATTAAATTATTAGCTTTTCACTTTCACCCCAAAGGGGAAGCACTCTAGTAATTATTGAGCCAATTAGTAGTTCGGTTATAACGGTACAATAGTGAACATAGTCGGGAATCCAAATTTTGACTCGCGTTTGTGTGTCAAGGGCCCTAACAGCCTTGTTTGTGGCGCCAGTTAGTGGTAGAATTCGTGGTTGGAAAAAAACATTACTTGGTTTCTTTTGTTATAAAAATAATGCAGTGTATGGAACAATAATAGTCACTATAATACTGATATAAATTGACGAGTATGCTGATAATGATGGTTTTATTATTATTATCATTATTATCATTATTATTATTATTATTATTATTATTATTATTATTATTATTATTATTATAAAAATCACTATTATTATTTACGATAATAGCAATCTCATTTTGTCAACCCAGAGTTACAGCTCTGTTACCAGGAAGAATATGAGTAAGAATGCTGTGTCATAACAACCCAAAAGATAAACTGGATCAGTTACGTTGGAAGAGTGAGCCTGACAGAAACCCCCTACGAGTGTCAAGAGACCTCTGCGCCGTCTCTGTGTGTTCAGGAAGAGAGGTGGCGTAGGTAGCTTAGTGGTCAGGCTTAACTGGACCCTAGGTGGCGAGTTTGCGGGTTTGAGGGTCCAAGCCTCAGCTCGGGTCGACGTTGTGTCCTTGGCAAAGGCACTTTTTACGAATCTCCTTATTCGGCTCGGCTCTTTCTGAGATGGAAGTTAAACGCGGCGGTCTTGTCTTTTAAATAACCCTGATAGTGTTGATCGGGGCGTTAGACCTATACCATTTCGCATTTTTCACATTTCCAGGACGAGATTGAGACGCCTGCAGCCCCAGTGACCATCTACACTCGCTACATCCCGTCTGTGGTCAAGTTCATCTCCACTTTTGCCAAGAAAATCCCTCAGTTCTTGGACGTCAGTGTGGCTGACCAGCGCGCGCTCATCAAGGGCTGCATATTAGAGGTGAGCTACTTCACTGTTTAGTGGGTGGTTGGCGGGTGCTCTGGTGTGGTTTGCTTCTTCTTTGCTATCTAACGTCTATCTTCCTTATGTCCCCTCCTTTTTTATGTTTGTTGCTATCTTGTAACACCTCTAATCTTCTGGCGCTCATATGACCTTATGCAGTTTCGAGCGCCGTAAAACCTCTACGAAACTAAACTTCACGGTTTAGTATTTCGACTTTTTCAGTCTAACACTTCGCCATACGCCATTTTGAAAAATGATGTATGACCGAGTCTTACGTTAAGCAGTCGATTTTCCGGTTGTCACCGTTGTTTATTTAAAAAAGAAATATTGTTGGCTGTTGGTCGTTGTATAGGTTTGCACGCCCCTTTCAAAAACTATACGTTTTTTAAAGACCGATAGGACCGAGCCAAATAGGTGGAGAGCCTTTAAATCTCACTAGAACAACCAACGGTCAGAACGCTCTTTTGAGGATTTGGTCCAGGGACGTCCGCTTCGTAGTCCAGCATGACACCACTTGACCTAATCGTGCGCCCCATTTGTTGCTTGTGTATTTTTTTCTTTAGTGACAATTTGTAATTTTGAGCCTTTTAAAACTCTTCACAATTGTCATTTTGTGATTGTCTTTGTCGTTGATACTATTGTTTTTGTTGATGTTGTTGTTAATATTGCATACCCTTTTGTATAAACGAAACG